AAGGACAACAAAGTTGCTTTGGCACCGACTGACATGCCTACTCAGCCTTGGATTACGATGGGTAATATCCCGCAAGAGGCTATCATCCCCATCTTGACAGAAGTTGTGTCCAAGCAGATCTCCCTGGATGAGATAGGGAGGAGGTTCAAGGTCGTGAAGAAGTTTGGCTACGTTGCGAAGGCCTTCTGCGATGGAGTTAAATGCAAAGACTTTAAAGCCGCAGAGGAGTTGTATCCTTTCCACACCAAAAAAGAGGTTCTCGAGCCGTTTATCGAAAGTTTTGAGAGGCGAGGGGCGAAACCCACTGTTTTGCTGAATCATATTGAATGAGCAAAGGAGTGGAGGAAGATGGAGGACAAGAGGATTAGAGATGCGCAAAGAATTTTTTTCCAAGCGTCGTCTCTGGAAAAACCTTTTCAGGACTGGACTGAGGTGAAGTATCAGGGGTGCGTGGGCCAKGTGAAGGTTATTGAGGGTGATATGTTGCATTTGGCACAGCTGCAGAAGAACAAGGTGCCGATTTCTCTTACTATCTTCGATTTTCCCTACGGCTTTGCGCACAAAGGTCACGCACATGACACGGAGCCTTTCCCGAAGATTGACATTTTGAACGTGTTGCAGAATGTCAAGGACGTTACAAGCGCATCGCTCTGGACAGTCGCTGCTTTTTGCTCCGTGGACATGCTATCCTCGGTGAGGTCCGCGTTCGTGAAGATCTGCAATGCTGGTCAAGAGCTTGTCATGTGTTTCAAGCTGAACACGACAAATCCCGGTGGCCCCAGGCTTGTCGGCGCGACAGAGTTCTGCATTCTGGGGTACTACAATGTGACGGGCCAGCGTGAGATGACGCATTACAACTTCGCTCCCACCGACCCCCGCCACAACTTCCAACTTTTTGATGCGGTTACCGGAAAGTTTGTGCATCCAGGTGATAGCAAGGTGCTCTGTTCGTACCAGAAACCTTATGCTTTGTATTCCTGGTTGGTCACGAAGTTCTCTCCACCAGGCGCCACCGTTTYGGACGGGTTTTCAGGCTCGGGTACAGGGGTCATTGCTTGCGTAATGGCCAACAGGAACTGTCTCGTCGTGGAGTTGGACAAACGGTGTGTAAAGGGAATCCGCATGAAGCTACTCACAGACCTCGAAGGGACGTTGGAGAGAGAAAAGCCGAAAGAGGGGAAGGGGAAGTCGAAGGAGCAGCACCCTGATGAGGAAATTGAGGTGTCTGGGGATCACGGCCTCACGAAAGAAGAGCAGCATGTTGAGGAAGGCACAACCAGGGAGGCTTCCGACAAGGAGGTGACGCATGAGACATGGGAGCCGATTCCGGGACTGATTGCAACAGACGCCAATCTGCCAGCAGGATCCGAACAGCGTGGGGAACCGCCTGTGGCAGCACCTTCAGAGGAGCAGCAGAGGGGAAATATCCCACCATCCACTGCAGCTGAAAATGTCCTGGGCTCGACGAGCGGGCGAGAGGAAGGCGAGTTGTCTCATCGCAGGGCAGTCACTGTGGAGACAGGCGAGATCACAGGGTTGCCCAGCAATCCTGACAGGGAGGAGCTGGCACAAAGCCAATACTCGAGTCAAGCCACACGCACAGGAACACGAGGTCGTAAGCGAAAGGTCGGAGGAGACGAGGCGGTTAGCTCAAAGCCTGGCCTTGTTATGGGTCTGTGCAGTAATGCTCGGCCGCGTGTGGGGAAATAAGCAAGGGCGCATATAGTTCTATAACTTGTTTTTGTTATAGAACTATAGTTCATGTCCTGGGTTTGTTAGTGTGCACATGTCGTTCGGTTGCATTCCGGCAGAAGTCGAAGTAGACGACGCTTAATAAGTGGTAGTCATGAGCAACCATTCACCCTAAAGAGATTTAGATCTCTTGGAAGGAAAGGTCGATGAATGTGCACACTTGGCGTTTTGAAATTCCTCGGCGCATATAGTTCTATAACCTGTTTTTATTATGGAACTATAGTTGATGTCCTGGGTTTGTTAGTGTGCACATGTGGTTCGGTTGCATTCCGACAGAGGCCGAAGTAAATGAAGCCCAATAAGTGGCAGTCTTGAGCAACCATTCACCCTAAAGAGATTTGGATCTCTTGGAAGGAAAGGTCGATGAATGTGCACACTTGGCATTTTGAAATTCCCCTTGTCACTGGTTTGCTCGTTGGCTGCTGTCTCCTGGTCTTGGATCCACTGTTGTCGCTGTTGTTGTCGTCGTTGCTCATTTTAGGGTTTTAGTTCTTGTCGTTTTTTCACTGTCGCAT